TAGGTTCATATTTCGTGATTAATTTACATTATCAACTGGAGTTTTAATTAAATTCAGACGCAACTTTGCAAGGAAAAAACCAAGAAATTAAAAGATGTCCATTTGAATCAATACAAACCTCCAATATCAAGTAAAAACTGCAAACAAGCATCACTATTGTTAGAAACTGCCGTATATACACAAGTTCTACCCATCATATCCTGAGAATTCAAATTCTTTTTTTCCTCCCCTTCCAGTAAACACATCATTAGATCTGTATTATTGTATAACACTGCTTGATGTAGCATTTGTCCAGGCCACCCATTGTCCATAGTGCTCTCCTCTTCATCCTCCATTTTACAACTTTATTATTGTGGTACACCTACTTGTGGAGAACTCGAAAATCCCTAAAAAAAAAAAAAAAACAGTCATAGGCCTACTCTACGCTTAATTGCAATTAGGATTAGAGTTTCGCTCTATCACTTGCTAATAGCAACATATTTTAATGTAAAACTAAAAGTCTAGAAATTGCCATCCTAGTGGAAAATGCAGGCAGTGCTTGTCACATGACACTGCAATTAACAGAGTCATTCAATTTCATAGCTGTCTGGTGTCGTGTGATAGTGATAGTAATGTGACGTTAAAAAATGAATGATGAAAGCGAAAGTGACAGTTAAGTGAGATTATTCATTTACTTAAAAGACGCCTTCCAAATCGAAAAGCATCGAGCAAGATAATTGTTCGTTCTCTGTGTGAAAAGCAAAACTTAAAATGCAAACCTTGTGACAGGGGAGTGCTTTGTTATCAAATTAATCCGCTGCTTCATTTCGCTTTGATTCCATTGAGGTTTTTATTGGGATTGCCGGAAGTGATGTTAAGGGAATTCCCAGTCACGAGAAAGATTCAGACCACAATAAGTTTCTTAATTGAACTAGAACTCTCAGATTCAGAAATAGAATGTTATCGCGCGCCTTATTTATGGAATAAATGAATAGCCATGGGAATTAAAATGAAATGGATGCAGTTTTACATCCTACTTTTCTGCACCTTATACTTATTGTCTAACGAAGTCGGGCAACACCATGCAGGGCACAATGAGAGTAATTTTGCCAGAACATGGACATGTGGTCTCTTTCGATTTCCAACTCTCTGGGGATCTTTAAAGTAAAAAGGCCGTAGCACACGGGGCTTCGGTTTATTGTCCCATTTGAACGACTGGGCACCTTTTCCATGTTATGTAGGTAGGTAGATGACAAGTTAACGTTCGCTTCCAGCTGAGGCCGATATCGCAAACTAGGTAGTTGTTGGTTGCATCAGTGACAAATTTAAACCACCATTATTTTTAAAATGGGAGTAGGTGCCTATTTAGAACTGAGCTAGAGTGTGCAACTTGTCAATTTTGATTTGTTACCGAAGTTCTATGAAATACAATTCAAAATCTAACTTGATAAGCCAAATCTAAAATTTGGTGTGATAAATTGCATCAATTTGTCAGTCTAAATTGAACTCTAAGTGATTCATAGAAACGCTCTGCTCCATTATGCAGGGTAGGCTACGGTATGGTCTTTAGCTCCAGCCATTTGGAGGCCTATACCAATAAATAGGAAATTTCTAGTCATGGAATCATACGCAAATAAAAGTTAAAAAATAAAGTTTTAGTCCATACGACATAAGTGTAGACTGTAATATAATTCCTGTAAAGTTTATAGAGATATGTATGACAGCTTTGCTGCCAAAGGATTCATGTAAATATTAGGCTACTTGATTAGGAGTCAAAGGGGTGGCAGGGGCGTAAACCTGGCTCCACCACTGTGTTTTCTAGAGAACTGTGCAGTCTTAATGGATTGGTCCATGCTGATTTAACTTATAAATTTCATCTCATTTTTTTTCCAGATCGAACCCCTCCCTGGAAAGAAGGAATTTGAATGGCCAATATACATCTGCGTTCTATGATTCTTATCCAAGAAACTGGGATGATACAAAACGTGAGGCATTAGCAGGTAGATGTAAGCATACTTTACGTACGGACTCTTCTGAATGATCGGGTCACTAATAACAGTGCCCAACCCCCCTCCCCTTATTAAAAAAAAATCCCGGGGTGGGGCTGCAACCAACTTTAGTCCACTCATTTGGTTGAGCCACGTAGTAAATTGAATTCACAAGTAAAAAATGTATACTTTAATCAACTAAAACATAATCATATATTACACTATTGTAAAATATATTTACAAACTCGTTGGTGGAAATACCTAAGGACATATAAGATAGGCTGAGTCTATTTTGATTCCATAATAACTACACTTTGAGATTCTATTAAAATTGGAAAAAATGAATTGAGCTGTCCGTCCTATGACTTGAGTACAATGGCCACTTTTTATCTTGTCACGTAAGTTTGTAAATTAATGCAGCGTTTTTGTTGGATTGTACATTAACGAATACAGCAGAGTCCCCGAAAGAGAGTCTGTAAAAATAAAAAAATAATGTTTACAGTCTGTCTGTTTAGGACTGTGATTCGCTGTATTCGCTGGCGTTCCATCAGTCCATGATACAAGAAAGGTGGCTATTGCAGTCAAAGTATAAGATAAGTTCGCAATGCCTTGACCATTGTGAAGATGATAAATAGCCTATTGTCGCTGGCATGGGGGAGTTGCTGGCATTAATATACATATTATACATAGACCTATATGATACCTATTTGATAAAATTATATCTAGATATCTAAAGTTAAAGATCTCTCTACAGCTTAACAAACATAGATACAGTCCTGCACATTTTTCGCCATTGCACATTGCATGTCGTTGTCCAAATCCAATCTTATTATCTATATACAACGTGCTGAAAAGTAAGATGTAAATGTAAACTCCAACTCAATTCAATACATTCTACATCTAGGCTACCAATCTAAACATTCCAATTAAATTATATTCATAACCTAAATTGAAAAATAAAAAATCCAATTAACATAAAAATTGTTTCTGTTGTCAAATGATTGCTCACGGCTCCACCAGTGTCCAATCTAGCATCAAAATTGAAACATCGTCCGTTCGCATGTTTATCTACTTTGAATCTTTGGCTGAGACAATATTCCTTGCCACTGGAAAACAGATCTTCAATAATGGAACCTTTCGATGTCGCCGATTTGCAGGCATCGTGCCAGGCATCACAGAACTCCTCACAAACAGTCAATCGTTCTCTAAAATAGAATAAATATTGGTCCGGAGAACAGATATAGCACATTAAATAGTTAGTGTATCGTTGACAGGACGGGGAAGCACCACGAAGCGGTTTCACTCTACCAAACGTAGCAGAAATTTCAGTCTGACGACAGCAACTGTAGTCTTTAAACCAGGTACAATTTTTCAAATTCGGTTCCGTCTCCGGCGCACGATTATTAAAGAACGAACAGTATTTCAAAGTCTTTGATTGTGTTTGACAGTAACACATTCCTAAAGCCATTGATATTATCCATAACATTAAGAAGGAATCCATTTTGAATTCTAACCATTTTCCAACGGTGCCATCGACCAAATAATAGAGGTGAATAAATAGGCCTATAACAAGCAATGGCGCATGCGCTTTGGAGTTTACATTACGCGTGTTCAAAGAGATACCTACCGAGTGCCGTGATAAAAATCAATATCTCTCAATATAATCGAAAATCCTGTATCGACGTTTAGGAAATGAAATGAATGGAGTTTTACGTCCTACTTTTCTGCACCATGTGGGATAATGAAGATGGGCAACGCCATGCAGGGTGCGATGAGGGACATTTTTTCAGGACAGCGGCAATAGCCTGCTCTTTCGATTTCCAACTGTCGATCGAAGGATCTTTAACGTGCATAGTCTGTAGCACACGGGGCCTGGGTTTATTGTCCCATCCGAACGACTAGACGCTTTTTCAATGTCAGTCTCTTACGTGCATCACTGACAGGGGGAAACCGGGTTGGAAAATCCGAAGGTATTATCTCGACCTATGCCGGGATTGAACCCTGGACCTTCAGGTTAGCGTGCAAGCGTCTAACTTACTGAGCCACCGCGGCTTCCTATCGATGTTTAGGGGTCCGGTGTAAAATCGTTTGTCTCAATGAATTTGGGGATCAATGCCATAATAATAAAATATTCCCTATGATCTATATTGCAACATTGATTGATGGGATAATAAAAATGTTGCTCTTATACGTGATAGGCCTACTATGCAAATGTCATATTTTCTTCTGTTAGATATTTGAATTGAAAAAAAAAACCCAGAGTTCTAAATAAGATAAGTTATCGGTTGCAATCAATACATTTGAATTATCTTTATAGTCCATATCAAACTTGAAATAAGGGATAGAGTCGTCCACATTTGCTATGCAAGATGAGATAATTTCAGTTACCCTTAATACTTATAAAAGTGAGTATTCGACCTTTAGTTTTTCTACATCAAAATACACATTACAGATACACTGACAATAGATCCTCAGACGTAATATACATTTGTGATAACGTAACCGTCGATCACAATATCAGTGGCTTTGCCCCCCTCCCCCCTCCAGAAAATAGGCGGCTTTGGCCCACTACTTTCAACTATTTTATCATGAACTAAGGTTTGCCGGTGGACCCCCTTGAAATATTGTGGCCCCGCTCGGCCATTCTACCTAATGTTTCCTAGAAACGTCACTGGACGATATCACATCCGTAGGCCTATATCATGTTTGGGAACGAGTAAGACCAGAATTGTCGTCCTATCGAATTGGTGATTAGATTATAGCATGAAATCAAGATGTTAAACGGCTTCTGTTTCTGAGCTTTATTTCACGGGCAAAATGAACCTGTAGCTTCTATTGTTCAGTGCAGTAAACAATATTGTTATCAAGAGATTTTGTTGTTAACTATGATATATTGGTTAAGTGACGTTTGATCAATAACAAGGTGTCTTCATGCTTCGTGTCTTTACTGTACCATATTGTATTCTTTGATCTAGTAACTTTGACGTTTGTTGTTTAGTGGCAATATTCTGCTCTTGAAGATTTTAATTTCAAATGAATAAGGTAATCTTTATGGCCAATAATTTCTAATCGTTTAATTGTGGAGTGACATTAATATTCTTTTTTTTTAATTAGCATTATAGGTACCATTAACTTAAATGGTCTAAGGGAGACAACTACAGAATTTTACCTCTCGGTTGTTTCCCTTGATGCAATTTCCTTTGTGGTTAATTAATGAATAGTGATCAATCTGCATTTCATTGCATTGTCTGTGTATGGTGCTATATAATTCTAGATTACATTGACAGCACATTTCTTGGTGTAAAAATATGAAATCAATATAGGTATTTACATGTATTCTTAAGTTTATTATGGACTGCCAAACAGTATATGACTATAGGCTACTATAGGACTAAGTAGCCTACCGTATCCTATAGTAGAGGCTATAGTATAGGGGACCTACAGCAATTTGGGATTTGCCTTTAAATTAGAATTAAGTTAAGGTAACTCATAACTGATAAATAAATATCCAACAATATAGAACTTTTTTCTTTATAATATGATTTTACAGCCTTATTTTGCAGGTAGCAGTCAACTCTATGTCCAACAGTAAACCCAACATATTATATAACCCCCTGTTCGAACCAGTAGATAGTCAATATACAGCTAGAAGAATGGTTGTGTGGAAATTAATAAATATGATAATGTCAGTCTTCTTCCTACTAGCTGCTGTGGCCAATGTGAGTAACAAAACAAAGAAAAGAAAGAAATTTTTTACTTAAAGGGATTGTAAAAAGGTTTTCTACAATTTTTATGTGTATTGAGGACACTGGCAGCATCAATTTGCACCATTCCAACATTTGTGGTTCTTCCAATTCCATCTAAAACCATGAGCTTTATGATTCCTTATTGCTAAGGTCCTTATATCTACACCAGCTTTTGTGATAATGGCGTTGTTAAATGCTTATTTCAAATGTCTGACTGAAAATTGAAATTTTGCAAATTGATGATATGAGTGTCCCTGATACACTTTAAAAGTTTATTAAACCTTTTTACAATTCTTCTAAGGACAATTGAGGTTCTCAAGGATCTTGCATCTCAGCTGATCCTCGATCACACTTCCCTGCATAATAATCTGGATTGTCATAAATTATTGATGGTTATCAACCTAAATATCATATAAACATTATCAATGTGAACTCTTTTAAAGGAATATAAGTCCTTATATATGAAGCTTAAATAGTTATATTTTTGTTTGAGTTTGAATCTCAATAGGATAGTGTCCATGGTTTGAGCTTATCGTTTTTTGAAGAAAGAATAATGGTCTAATCAAAGTGAAATTTTTATTTCAGCTGAATGACTATGATTGGTATATTTGGGTGGTAAGTAGAGCCTACCAAATTATATTTTCAGAAAGCCATTTAATTTTAGTCTAATGAAAACGCTGTGTTACAGGGTTGATTTAACTACATGTATATTGGTCAGTCTTGTCTGATTAGAGCTCCAAAATGTTTTGCTGTAAAGTGATCTGGATTAGATATCAAAAACATGTGTCAACGTCATCAAAGGAGCTCCTGTCTATCAACCACAAGAAAGGGTTGCAAAATTGTGAAAAAAACATTTTGAATGCTGCATAACATTCTTGCCATTTATTGTATCTAATGGTGACATATATATATTCTCTTTTTTATTGTAGCCAATCTATAGCATACCAGCATTTTTTAGTATTTTTCTTGTCCTAAAACCAGCACTCATTAGTAAGTATCTTGTTTCAGCCTTGGCATTGATTTGCAATGGATTATCCATACCCATTTAAGACTTGATTAACTGGAATAATGAAGACTTTCACAAGCCATTTGAAATTAAAACCACCACCAACACAGTTAGTCAAGCAAATGACATCAAATTTTAACCTTTAACCCACAGTTTTATAGCCTAACCCATTTTCAAAACTCCCAAATACCAAGTCACTTGATGTTGTTCATTTCAAGTGTTATATTTAGAAAGAAACATTGGAGAGCCAACATATATGTACATGCTATTATACAAATTGTTGTTTATTATTGTAGATAATTCAGTATATAATATATCAGTATCTACAGTGTTAGTAATGTATAGTGGTTATTTTATTTATTTAATTGTGGTCTTTTTACAAACAATACAGAATTCTAAAGCTGTGAATAATCCTTTAATACATGAGGAAGGGAGGTAAGTGTTGAATGGTTTTATGTTTTTATTGTGTGATCCATTCTTTCACATTGTAAAGAAATGGAATTTTTACATCTTAGCAAACGCCTTAAAGCTAGATAACTGACAGAGGGAAAGTACTTGAAAAATCTAAGGTTATCATATTGACCTATTGAAGACCGCTACGTCAGCAAACAAATTTCTAGCTTTCCGAGTCACCTCAGCTTTTAAATTGATGCTTCAGAGTGGGTTATAACTTAATGAGATTAATTCTAGAATTTTGAGAAATGATTTATCTGGTTATTGTTAGAAATTAAGCTTTAATACTGATGAATTGGGTTTTTTTCCAGAGAAACAGTTGGTATGTTCATTATTTTATTATGGCTGGTGATTTCTAGATTCACGTCTCTTGGAAGGTGAGTGTTAATCAATCTAAACACCGATGCCCTCTTACCTCCATGGTATATTTTGTATGATGGTGAATTTCAGCATTGGAACGTGACTTAATTTGCTATTTCATTTGTTGTTAATGTGACTGTCTGACCAATGAGAAATACTGGAAAAATGGATTGTAAGATTTTATGTGGTACAGGATCCTAGAGTCTGAAGATTTCAAAGTTTTGATTTGAATACAATAAGTAGCTAGCAAGGCAAGGAATGCTCACAGTTACAATGTACTTGATGCTTCTCTCATTCTCTGCTACAAAGTCTTTAAAACCAGCATCCCCTTCAGAGAATCTGCTTGATATTATATTTTATGTTGGTATTTTTTTGCATGTTAATTGTATTTCAGACCGGAACCAATTCAAGGTAATAAAGGATTATTAAATGGTTTATTGGTATTGACTATCAGCCTTGCAGTGTTACCTATTATGGCATGGGCTGTGTGTTTTATTGGTGATAATCATAAACATATTGGACATTGTAATGGTATGTTTCGTTGAATTCAACTGGTACATTGACCGCTATAGTATTTGATCAAAATGAAATCATTTCAAATGGTATTCAAAATGCTTGGTTGAATTCAACTGGTATTTTTGGTTGATTTCACTTAGTATAATGGTTCAATTCATATTGTGTACTTGATTGAATTCATTTGGTATATTTGGTTGAATTCAATGATTCATTTGATTAGATTCAGTTCCTTTGTATTTGGACGAATTCAAATGGAATATTTGATTGAATTAATTTGTTACATTAGGTTAAATTCATTGGTACATTTTTTTGTTAAATTCAATTTTTTTTATTTGAATGAATTCACTTTTTGGTTGAATTATGGTATATTTGGTTGAATTCATTTACCTTATGTTGTCGAATTAGACTTTATTACTTGAAATTTACGTCGTTTTTTTGTTTTGTAATTTAGTTGTTGTCTGACGTCTTATTGGACTAAAGTCTCACTTTAATTATGGAGTTACCCCCCTTTATTCAATTGGTTGATGAACAATTATTGCGTATGTTGATATATTTTATTTTATGCTAGACTGATATTAAATTGTTGAATTTTGTTTTGTTTCTGAATATAAATGAGAATATCTGTTTGAAAAAGGGTTAAAATGTAGACAAATTAACCGTCTATGGACCGACACCAGCTAATAAGTAGCGTTATTATAAGGTTAGATAATATCTAAACGATGAAAAGTATTTAAGATATCTAGGTGGGGAGAGTTAATAATATTTTGTTTACCTATATTTGTACGATCTATGATAATATTATGTTTGACCGAGTTATTGGTACGAATGTTTACATTGTTGTAATACTGGCCCTTAACTAGAATGTGGCCACATTTATAATAAATAAATTAAATGTCAACAGATTAAGGATAGGTGGAATTACGTTGTAAATGTCCTTGAGACTTGCGGACTTTTTGAGGGATCAGATAAATGGGCTTATCTGGATGCAAAACTTCTGTGATACAAGAATGGTTGCTATTGCAGTCAAGGTATAAGACAAAGTTCGTAATAGTTTGACATTGTGAAGATATCGATGAGAGAGAATCGATGCAGTACAAACAACTTTCTCACCTTGAGGCTCTGAAACGTAGAGAGTAATGTACATTGGATTGGATTCATCGACATGATTCACTGGCCCTTTAATTTCCTCTATAATGTTTTGGTCCATAAAAAACCAATCACTGGTATTCGTATAGCCCTGGTTCCAAACCTGGGATGTTTTCACCCCCTGGGGGTGTGGGACTTGGGTTTCAGGGGTGTGGCCAAATGGTGTAGGAGAAGAATTTTGAGAGCACCTCACATCATCACATTCTGGAAATGTTGATGAAACAAATTTTTGGGGGTGTGAAAGGTCCACGTGATTGCTCCAGGGGTGTGAAGGCTGAAATAGGTTAGGAACCACTGTCGTATAGGAATGTTGATCAAGATCGGTTGGGACACTTTCTTGCCCTCTTTAATGTCCTTTATAATGATATTAAAGTGCCTCTTCAAAACTCCCAAATTAGTCCTCAACACTGACAGTAATTTTCGTCTTCACACCTTTTATAACGACTTATTATAGCCTTTTAATGGCCTTAGTTCACGTCACGATACTAATCTATGAAGGTTTTTTGTATAACGGTTTGTTTGATAAAAATTGAATGATTAGGAAGCAATTTTCCTGAGGCAATTTTATTTATTACTGTCATTAGTAAAATTAAACACGTGCGTGCTGACACTGGCTGACAATGAACGGAAAATAGTCGGAAATATTTTTGTGAAAGAAAATAGAACTACTTTGTATGTTCTGCTTTGCTCTGGTAATTTTGAAGAATTTGTTGATTTTTTTAGATTTATTAATTATTTTATTAATGTAATAAAAAAGATATAATAACTCCCCATAATATGGTTCAATATGAAAAAAGTCAACAGAAACACAAGGTGTGATATTGCATTGAGATAATCTGATGAATGCATTCTATAAGTGCATGAATGGTCGTGTGCAAGCGGAGAAACGCGTCAAAGGGGTAGGAAATATACTTCCTTTAGTATTTTTATGGGTCCTGAAAAATACTATTGCCACACTTCTTTTCTTGATACGGGAAGTAGAGTGTCCCGTTACATTTTAATTATATAGGCCCTCAATTGAATTTGGCACGTAACAGATATGATGGGTGATGAACACAATCACAAGAAAGTATTTCAACTGCACAATCAGCATATATAAGTACCCAACAATGTCTCCGTGGGGGAAAGGGGGTGTTTTATTGCCGAAAAATGAATCACAAGAAAAGTTAGGAAGGGGTGTTTGAATATGGGCCAGCGAATTATCAAGGGAGGATAACTCTTTTGCTATGTCAAATGATATGAAATTTAAAAGTAGGGTGTGACGTCCATCCCTCATCCCGCACACCCAATCGTAGAAGCACCACTGGTGCCAAAGTGATTGGTTATTTTGTGCTATGAATAGGACGGTGCTGACGAGATAAGAGGATCACAGGGTATATTATGAAGGAAAGATATTATTGATGAGTGGGTAAATAATTATATATAAGATGATTATGTTGGTCCAAGCCGTCTGAGACGGCACATTAATATTACACATTAATATCATATATTTGTCTTGAATACTGGATTACCCTCACGGCCCACACTCGGAACAATCCATGGTACGAAAACAGGACTAGCACAACAGAAATTTGGTTTGCTTGTGTAAATGCGCGCGATTGCGTCGCATCTCATCTACCATTCAAAAAGAATTACCATGATCACGAGTTTTGGAAGGAATGGAGAAGATCGATTAACTCACGCCACATTACCATGAGGGACGAGTTTCACCGCCATGTCATTCATCCGGTCGACCAGAACTTCAGATTTCATAACTACTAAACCAGGATTACCAAATCTTCCAGATCCTGTTTTACCAGCAACTATAGTATGCAATATCACAATTAGTAAGAAGCAGATGTTAACTTCGTCATCTACCAACCAACCACCCATCAATCGAAGCATTGAGCCATCTTTTGTTGAGGAACACACCAAATCTCCGGCAATGTTACGACGATGTAACCCTTTTAGAAACCGGAACTGCCGATGTGACAAAGGAACCTTCATATCATTTGGGGATAAAGGGTCAATGATAAGGTCTCGAGAAATGATAAACATATTGTACAGGTCAATTTACAATGGTTAAAGGGATGTTAACGTCTAAATATTACCAGGTGATAGAACTCAATTAATAATCTCCTTCATTTTGCTCATGCATTCCCACCAGCTCATGGCTAGTTAAAGGAAAGCTCTCCTCCATTTAAAAAAATTGCTGTTATAGTGAGAATATGGTCCACAAATATCGGGAATATCTGCTACAGGCAGAATATTATACATGGCTCCAGAACTTACATTGTCGTCAATTCGATGGTACAATTTATTGATTGTAAGTAAACCTGGTGTCAAATTTTGGTTTTGAATGGTGGTATCCATAGTTAGATTTAAACTATAAATTCAAATGTCAATATTTTAGACGAAATTTATACGATTATACCACTTTAAATTTATCAGGCCTGGTTTATCAACTGATAAAACTGATGTTCTTTAATCCTAGCAACTGAGTGATTCTGAAATTTCACTAATACGAAGGAAACGCACATGGTTAATGCTTAAATTGGCATGTGTTTTTCCATCCGTTTTGGCCGTTTACGGTGAATGTCTCAAGGTGACTTTAGGCGCAGGCCTAAGAGCTAGCACCCCCATAGCCATTGAAAACTGACTCCCGTAAAATGTTACCCTAAGATAAACTTTATTAGTTTGTAGACTCTCCTAATGTCGATTGCCGAAATATATCTGAAATGACAAACTCATTCCCAATATTCGGATTGCCGAATGAGTCATGCAAGGTCAACTACAAAAGCAATGATCATTTCAATCTGACCACAGAAAAGTACCATTTTACCAAGCACAATCTGCACAGTTGGACGCCATTATTAGTATGCAATATAGGCTCTACTGAAGGTCCTAGTACTATAAGAAGGTTAATGAGAAACTTAACCAATTCTAGTAGATTACGAATGTAAATGTCGATTGTAAAAAAAGGTGTAACTGAATGACAAAGTAAACTATTATCCCACACGATTGTGTTTTGTTAGTTTTCTGGGCTGTTCACGTAATCATCAAATAGCCATGAATGAGCTTCTTTCAATTACTCGAAACTATAAAAGTAGTTCGGTATAGTGTAAGTAAAGGGCCAAGGAAAAACTCTGTAGTAATATTCTTATCTCATAGTACTATTACTGAATTTAACCAGTGTTTTTCCAAACAATATCGTATACGCCCACTGTAACATAGTAGATATTGTACATGACAGCTTTCGTTTGGAAATCTGAACATGTCAAGGGCATTAATTTAGATAAATATGGGTTATGTTCTCAATTCACTTTAACATCAGTACTAGCCTAAGAAGGAAATCAATCGGGACCAGAAAATGATATCGGACTACAAAGAATTTCGGAATACTCAGATGTCGGATATCACAGAGTACACTGTATTACATTTCACTACAAATCCATATCTGTCTGGTGCGCTGCACAGCAACCATAACTTATGTATTCGCATCTGTAGATAATTTGGGCTCTAAAGGGCAATAACTCAACTAACTGTTGATCAAATATTGCTAAATCGAACTCTTTGAACTAATCAGTTAGTTTTGAAAGTTGTCGTAGTTGAAAACGTTCTTTGTTCGGGGCTTTGTTAAAGTCAGCAAGATTTGGACTAGCTTACTCATCAATATAAGCATTATCTTATTACAAATGTTTTCTATATCGCGTTCACATTAAAATGTTGGCGTATAAAACACAACCCCAAACTTAAAAACAGAGTTGGTTCAATTTTCTTTAATATTTACTTTGACAACACTTAATTTATTTTACTTATACAAAGCTACACGTATGGTTTATTCAACTAGTCTACAAGTTATATAGGTTGAACAAACACTGGTCAGAAGACATTGTAGAGTGTC